AAGGTCCAGGTCCCAAGTCCATTTTCCAGGATTGGTAAAGTGAGCAACGACGGCCGAAGGGGAGCAAGCGAGGAAAGGAGCCACGAACGACGAACGTGTGGACGGCGGTCTGTCGAGGGGGGGAGGGAATGGATCTAATGTCTAATTTCAACGGACGAGGGGGCCGGCGCCGAATGGCACGGTGAGTGGAAGAGAGGACTTTCGGAATTTTGGAACAACTCGGAACAGAAGATTGGAAGATTGGTAGATTAGGAGCACAAACACAAACGGGCTTTCGCGACAACCTAAACATATCGATCATCAATTGCAGGACAAGCTACAGAGCACACGACTTTGTATTGGTCTAGATTGAAAATGGGATGAGAGCTGTACGGCCGCTCCGAGCTACCTTCCGGCCTCCCTCCGGCATGTCTTGTATTTGTCCCGAACAGAATGGTGAATGGTTACGGATAGAAATGAGGTATCTCTGAATATCTGTTAGCTCGGTGGTACGTATCTGGATAAGTCCGAAAACTGGTTGGATGAGGTACCTGAGGTCCAACGAAGACCGGTAAGGTAGGGAAAGCATTAAGCAACTGGCCCTGCCTTGCCTTTTGCTAAGGTACCTGACCGGCTTGAGCATCGTGAACGGACACCGACACCAAAAAAAAAAACAAAAAAAAAGCACAGACCAGCGGATGGCAATGGCGTGTCACCTCACAAAGGGGAAGACGGCGACTAGTGCCTGATTACTGAGGTTCTAGACGCAGAAAAGGTGGAGGTACCTATTCTGTACGTGGTCGGATGGAAGGTACCTTTACGGTTTACCTTGCCTTACCGACAACTCTGGCGGAGCAACCTGACCATTCGAGGTGGATTTCCCTCTGCCAAGGCCAAGGGCAAGAACGGCCTCGCAGGCCGGTACCTGTCGCCAACCCAATCTCCCACCAATTTCCCATGTACCGGAGTCAACTTCTGTTTTGGGGTCAACCGTCTACCGTCTACTGCACCGTAACCTGGTCTGCCCCTCTCAGTCGGCTCCAATTTGCAGTACTATCCAACATCTTCCCTCTCTCTCAACTCTTCGTTGCCCGTATCCTCTTTTCTTTACCACCTATATGACCTCGCTCGCGAACCCACGCCGTATTCGTCTCTTCTCGTCTCGTCTCGTCCCAATCTCGAATAAAAACGAACTCCTCTTCATTGCACCTCGAAATAGGAGATCTGAACTATTACGGAACTCCGGCGCCCGCCCTCTGCATCCATTCTCATCCGAACTCCAGCCACCCGTGGCCCGTCGTCTGTCTGCCAGGCATCTGTACGGATATTCTGCCTGTCGGCCCCGCCAGTCACTCTCAGTCTCTGTGCTGTGCTGTGCCGTGCCGCAGGTGTTCTACGGGCGAACGACCACGAGAGAGAGACACTGACACTGTATTACGGGCAAGGGTCATGGCAGACACCAGCGGATGGTCCGCCCAACGATACGCCAGGGGAAACGGGGACACACGCTCGCGCCTATCTTGTCCAGGATGTTGCATGTTCCTTTGCCCGTGGGCATTGCGGCAATCCCAAGCCAAGCCAAGCCCAAACAGCAGTGGAAAGCCGCGCTAGAAACGACCCTAGAACACACACGGCGTGTGCCCTGTGCGGGGATCGAGGTCCGCTGACGGCCTAGTCTGCGTCCGCCGCATATCTCGCTTTGTCCCCGTGAACGAGGAATTTCATATCCTAGCCACAACAGGCCTTGCCCTTCACTTTCCATCGGCCGCCGACCCCTTTCAAGGGAGCCTGGAAACCTCCAAACAAGGGGCAACGACCAAGTCCGAGATATGTCTGACTGGAAGACGACGGATATGGCTCGTCGCCCGTTGACGTCCAATTCAGTCTTCACACAATCGGCATTGTTTACGCAAGCGCATCAGGCGAAGACACTCGACACACCCTGAATCGTGTTGAATCGCACATTCCACATTTCAAAACGTGAACATCGGTTGCTTGTCGGCAATTGAGAGCATCCTTTGAGAAAAATTGACAAGGCATATCGATACTTGGTACAATTCCCATGACGGCATCTTGTCAACACAAGGCTGTCCCCTCCTCATATCAGCCACTCTATTCATGGCGGTTGGCATACACAGCGGTACGCTCGACATGTTCGCGTGTCCCACATGGCATGAATGTGTATTTCCCTGCAAACCATCACAATTACCATTTTAATCCTGCGAAAAATCTCATCCTCGGCAAAGGCATAACAGCATAAACTGTGGCCCAAGCACCATGCCGCTAGCCCATTCAGAACATCCAATGGCACGCCGTTAGTCACCTGTTCAACGGAGAAGAAGAAAGACTCGAGAAGGTTGAAAAATGGAGGATCACCAACACGAACCCACGCGTATGCACCCGTTGCAGGTGCTGAAGGCACCGCTGTCCAATGGCTTTTCTTCCTGCAGCAGAACCTTGCCCGTACCGGCTTGGACCTGCAGCGGCGCTACAGTCCGGCTCGTTTTATCCCCCACCGCCGCGATGCCGCCCGAGATGCGGTGAAAGACCGCCCCGCTCCGTTCCATGTGGGAAGCCAACCAACAAATGCCTCCTCACGCGGCAGCCGGCTGGGATACCGCTTCTGCTTGCCATTCGATACGGATTGCCTCCTCTCAACGCTACCTGTCGTACCCATCATCCGATGTCTATACTACTCCCGTCACCATTCAACAGGCGTGGTGGCTCACCAGCCAGCCAACCATCCGCGCTCCCTCCGCCTTACGGTTTCACTTTTCTCCCGTACATCCCCGTCAGCTGGCCCTCCTACCCATCAGACATATTCTCCAACGTTCAAATGAAACGCTGACCCATCTAGCACTCCTCCAAGTCTCAACTATGAACAGGCCTCCCCGCGTTCATCTTGGGCCCGTCATCCAATGAATAACTCCCATCAGGCCGTCTAGACCGCACGATAGCTCTTGTCTAGCCCGTGACAGTCACAGGGTAGACGCACTCACTAACACCAAAAACCCCGTTGGAATACACGTTGATCCCGACGGCCTTCCCGCTTCTGTGGTCATTGTGTTTTTTCTTTCTTTTCCGTTTCGACTCGGCGAGTTGAAGCTAACAGTCTTTACGGACCCAAAGTGTTCACGGCTGGTCATCAAGCAGCTAAACGGCGAATCGATTCTCGAGACGCCTTAGAGTTCGCAAGTCATGTCTCAAGCCAAAGGCCCGCCTCTGTAAGCAAGCAATGCCAGGATAGTGTGGCTCGCTTTCCTCGGCACGCTGTGGCTTGCGCACTCTCCATGTGAATGACGGAGGACTCCAGCCGTTACTGGGCGCTCGACGCTCGTTATCATTTTTATTTGAGACGACGACTGGGACGGCATGAATTGTGGCTTGGCCAGAGTTGTCGGACGGTAACTTACCCCTTCAGCGAGCAGGCATCAGTTTCTCCAAGATTCATGGCCAAAGGGTGTGAAGGTTGACTCTACCTTTTCGTTTCTCAAACAAGATCTTGGCACAAGTCTATTTGCGAGTGCGAGCCGCAGAAGCCAACTCGGCCCAGGTCTGTGTCTCGACTTTTGTCTCCGGTGGACATGCTTCTAAACTTTTTGCTGCTAAGGAGAAAAGCCGCTTAGGTAGGATTGTAATAGGTGAGGTGGTTGATTGACATGCCTATGGATTGATCGCCGTGGATGTCGTGGATAGGTTGCTCTAAATTTGGAAATCAGGATCCTTGTACAGAGTAGGAGGACTCCGTACGTCGCTTTCTTTGGAGACCTTTCAAGGCCGTGGATCGGCGAGGCTCGAAATTTTTGGCAAAACCTTCCTCCCGGCTGGCTTGGCCAGTGCTTCCCAGTGCTTCCACGGTTACACGAGAAAGAAAAGGAAACCACCTCGGGAGAGTATCACCTAGAGTTGACGGGAAGAAGCGGGCGCGCCGCGCGCCGCGCGTGTCGTCGTCGTCGTCGCCGCCGCCGCCGCCGCTGCTTTGTTGCACCCTTTGTCCATGTAAATTGGGCGCGCAGGGCGCCGAGCGCCGAGCGAGTGGCGAATGTGTAGTTTATATACCACGCGATATGTCGTGGGAGTTATATGTATACGTAGGGTAGGCACTTACGTTTGACGACGACGTTGGTGGATATGTGAAACGTTTACTTTCGAAGAAAAGCAGAACGGAAAAAAAAAAAAAAAAAGGAAAGAAAATAATCATAGTGAAGAATAACAGTGATGGTATCATCGCGGAAACGCAACCATGGGTCTCGTACAGAGTGAAGAGTACTGAATAGATTGACTGATATCTCTTCGAGCCTGAAAATCCACGGACCTTTTGAAACATGATGTGTAGTTTTTGTTACGATGCTCAAGGAGAGCTCTATCCGACACGAATGTCGAATCCAGATCCCGCCATCTCTCGTTTTACAACCATCATCAGGATACAACGTCACGAAACTTGCTAGCGTCACAAAACCGCAACTTCTCAAAAACCTCACAGCCGAACCAAAGTTTCATGGTAAAGACCGATTCACTAGCATTGCACAAGTCATGATGAAGACACCAAAATTTCGAAATAGAGTGGCAGGCCCTCCCCAATCGTGTATTTTTTTATCTGTAATCTGATTCGTCGTGTTGCTTGCTAGCATGTGCTGTCTGTCTGCATCAACTTCTTTCTCTTTTACGTTCCCGCCTCTCCCATGCCTTTCCCAATTCGTTATTGATGTGTAGAAGAATAAATAGGAGCCTTGGTGCCGTGGCACATCTGTTGAGGCTCATGAAAAGGAAAGTCAAAAACACCAATGCCTCAGCCTCGTCGAGAGCTGTTAAAGTTACACCTAGAACCAGACTTCCCAAAAGTCCCCAGTACTAAAGAAATGATCCTCGTCGGTGAGGGATCCTGCGTGACTGCGTTCTTTCCCTGGAACTCAGACTCAGAACAAGGACACCCACCCGGCGCCGAACTTGGAGTTCTTCGACGAGATGCTGGATCCGGACGAGTAGAGAACACCGTCTTGTTGCCGAAATGCCTCCACATCCTAATGCAGGCCATTCGCCTTACCATTCGTCTGCAGGTCCGGAATGTCCTCCGTGGCAGCCCGAGTAGCCTCATCCACACTATCCGCCACTAACATCTCGGCAGACTCGGCCGTCGTGCGAGTCCATTCCTCAAGACGTGCCTTGTCAATGTATTTGCGCAAAACTGAGTCCTCCCACTTCATTGCATCCAGGAGCTTATCCCGGTAAGACTTCTCCCAGCTGGCCCAGCGGCTGTCGAGGTCGTCCACGAATGCTCCCAACGCATCGGAAGGCCTCGTTGGCTGGAACGGCTCGTCAATTCTCTCTGTTTGGTAGTTAGCAACTGGCTTCGTGAGAGCGAATTGGTGATACCCACGTTTTTGGTAGCAGGAAATGAAAGCACTGAAGAGCGTAGTCCTGGTCAACTTCTCTCCAACGAACGAATCGTCCTTCAACTGCGTGTCGTTGAGCTTAGTCCAGTCATCGCGGATGAAGCAGCGTCTCCAGATCAAACGCTTGGCCATCTTCGACTCCTCGCCCTTGAGTCCCAATGAAGCGGCCTCAAGAGCCAGATAGAAAGGATCATCAATGTCGGCGGCCGTCTCACCCGGTAGATGAACGAGAGTGAGTAGGTCAATGAGAGACATGGCATCGAGAGCCTCGTGCTTAAGGAGCCTTTTCATGCTGCTCTCGAAGACTTGGATCAATGCCTTTTGTTTCTTTGGGATGTGAAGACAGTGATTTTCCATGGCGAGTTGCAGCTCGGCGCTTTCATCTACGGCCATCTGAACAGAAGGGAAGATCTGGGCGTAGAGCTGATCTTGGATCTTGATGAGATGAAGCTGGTCGTCGATGATCTCAATCTTCTCATCGGATGTTCCCTCAACCTCGACGTTGGCTTGCTTGAAGCCGAAGAGATCGGATGAGGCAGGCTTCTCAGATTCAGCTAGCAAAGCTAGCTTTCCGAGACTAAGTTCGATCTTCTTGTTCCAGACCTGCTGCTCACGGGTAATACCAAGGTCGAAAAGAGTCTCCGCCGCATGCCCAATGTCACGCTCACGTTGGATGTCGTTGATCCACGAAATCTTGGCGAGTTCAGGTTTGGTGCGTAGGAAGCTTGTCCTGTATCCATGGTTGTCGTGACTGAAGTCCAATACGGCCTGGACACCAGCATTGTCGAGCAGAATGTCGTACGTGGGGAACGCAAAGGCCTCGCCATACTTGTCAAAGTACACACCAATTTGCCTCTCTTTCAGCTCCGCTTGCTTAGTGAGTTCGCGAGCATCGACTTGTGACCTTGACACTGTCGCTTCACTTCTGAGACTGTTGATCTGTTCAATCATAGCTAAAGCCAGTGCTCTCCAGCACCGGTGCTTCTCGGCGATGTTGATACTCTCATCCCACTTGCCGAGGCGGAGAAGGGAGAGAACCTTGTCGTTTCGGTCCGAATCGTAGAGCTTGGAGAGATGCTCTGACCACTTTTGCGCCTTTGTGTCTTGTTGTACAGCATTCCATCGAGATGCCTCGAGCAATGACACGAGGTACAGATCGCTCAAATTGGCAATTTCCAAGTTGATCTTCTCCAGGAGCGCGGGGTCAGGCTGCTTCGTCTTGTCCTTGGTCTTCTCCTTGGGAGGGTAGTATTGATCAAGCCACGTGTGACTCAGCTCAAGCAGCCGCTTCAAGTTGTTGCAAATGTAGTGACATCCGGTCCAGGGTTCAGCGAGACCGTCGTAATTGTCGCGCAAGATGCCGAATTGCAGCTCTTCGTCTTCGAGTCCGTAAAACGAGAGCTTCTTTTGTCGGTACTCTAGCGCTGTCATGAGGGCAACCAGATTGACTTGCTGAGCCTCGTACATGAGTCGAGTGATTTTAGCATCGTCCATGATGTGGTCTTTGTACATGTACTTGATCACTTCATAGGCCCACGCGATGAAGATCTCGACCTTACCAACGTCATGCACGAACCAGTGCCTGACGCGATCGACTTCCCCTGCGCTGCGGTTCGGGTTCGTCTTTTCATCCTGGTGAATGAACTCGACAATCTCGGCAATCAGGTCCTTCTTGTCGCTGGCAGGTCGCTCGTTCGTAAAAGCCTCGTGACGCTTCCACAGAACTGTTGCCACCATCATCTTCTCGGCATGCGAGAGTAGAAGCCAGCGGGTACGACGGTCCAACTTGACCTTTGTTGTCTTGAGGTGAGACATCAACCGATCGAGGGCCTGACAGCGGGTGCTGAGATTGTCTTCTAAAGATGCGGGCAGACTTGAAATGTGCGAGGTCGCTGAACTCATGATCTCGTGGCTGAGTTGTAACGCAGCTTCAGACACCTCCTCATCCGAAAATTGCACGCCTTTCCTTCCGTCGAAAATCAAGGGGGTATCTTGCTTGTTCCCAAAAAAGACAGCTTGCTCTAGCTTGCTCTTTGGCGTGACTTTGGGGGGCTGGTCACTGCCAAATCTGTCTATGTCTGTTGTTGTGAGTCGCACGATACCAGTACCGCGGACCATGAGAACAACTGCCGGGTTCTTCGTCTTTTGGCGACTTCTCGACTCCTCATGACCAGCATTAGCGGTCTGAGGCTCTTCAAAACCAGATCCTAAGATCTCTGACTGATTGTTGTCCGAAAGAGTGATGACATCTTCGTAAGTGGGAGGAATAATGTGGTTATCCTCTTGGAGCTGAGCATCTGGTGATTCGGGAGGGTTGCCGATGGATGCCACAACTACAGCCTTGTCGAAAACGACGAAAGCTACAAGGGCCGGTCGGGGGAGATGTAGGCGAGGCCTGGTGGACTGTACTGGGTTCGCAGGGTTGAAGCGCGCCTTGTATGAGGAAATCGGACGAACCATGCCAACTTGCGCGGAGGCCGGGGAGAGGATGACCTCAACCAAAGAGTAATGCGACTCTTTCTTCTTGGTGAAGCTGGCGAGAAGTAAGAGATGCTGCAGATTCTTATCTTCCGAAGCCATGGCGTTGCTGAGTCTGCTCATGTCCCGATACTTGGCATCCAAGCCCTTGGGAACGAAAGCAAAGTCGACAACCTCGAACGTCTCTGGCTGGAAGTCGGTAGCTGAGGGGTCAACGTCGCGAATCGCTTGGATAATCTCCTCCTGCATGTCTGCTTCCACAATCGTGTCATGGTGTCCACCGCGGTGTACATTCCAGGCGTGAAGTCTGCCCTTCAACGTAGCTGCGACGACGTTACGTTCGCCAACTCGAGAAGTGCGCTCTGCCCGAACGGCAGCAATATCCCCGCGCCCAGCAGTTTGCGTCAAGGCGTGACGAATGCTACCGAAAATTCCACCCGCCGTAGAACCCAGATTTGTTCGGAGGAATTGAACTGAAATCGTTGGTCTACCGTGGCTGTCTCGGACGCTCATGTAGGCTAGTCGGCCACTGCTAAAGGCCAGAACGAATCCGGCGGACTCGGCGTTCGTGATTTGTATGACCTTTTCGCCAGAAAACATGCCTGATATCGACCCTTCCACGCCATTACGCTGTTTCTTCATGAAGTCCAAAGTCGCGGCGCTCGTGATAGATTCCCAGTACGCGATCTTACCGCTGACGGGCATAACAACAACCAGGCCGGGCTCTGTTGATGAGGCCGATGGGGAGACGAGACAACCCAATGGCAGAGGTTCCGAAGTATGTTTTGAAGGATACGGGAGGGTGAATGTGAATGTCTCGGGGGATTGGGAGGGATCCGTATACGGCCAAACGATCGCATGAGTATGGCTGAGGCTGAGGGCGTAGCGGTTCGAGAAGATATCGGCCTGTTGCTGGGCTTCACTTGACTATTAGATGCGAAGGACGGCAATTACGCAAACTTTACGTACCTGAAGCATCTGCGCGGAGACGGTCTGGCAATGCAGGCAATTTGCTTACAGTGTAAGCGTTGTTCGTCGTCTGTTGGGGATCTTGTTAGCTAACCAGGGGGGCGTTCGATGCGACCGTGTATTTGCGTACCAAAACAACACTTCCATCGCCCTTGGTTGGTCTGTCGCCTCCCTTTGGCTTCTTTGCGCGCACGCTGAGTTCTTTTCTCGGGGTGGGTGTGATGGGGTTCTGGTTTTCGATGCCGTCCTGGCGTTTGTCGAGTGTCGCAACTTTGTCGGACTTGACCTCGTACATCTCGGGGCCCGTGGGCGCGGACACATCAGGATTCACGAAGGTCTGCTCGGTAAGAGGCAGACGCTGGCGCTTAGCTTTGGGTTGCTGTGCGAGGCTTTCGTTACTGGCCGGTCGCTGCCTTCTTCTGCTTCGCGTCGCGGTGGCGGGACCGCCCTCGTTCGTGGAGGGAGAAAACATGGTGATGTTGTCGAGCGACCGGGCGCGAAGTGGTTGATGGGGGTCGTGGTCGCCGTTGCCGTGATGGTTCTGGTGTTCGTGGATGGGCCGGTGTCAATCAGAAAAACATTTCGAGGATGGATGGATTCTGTGGCCTAAGGTATTCTGAATTTGTGAGGGAAAGCGGAGGTCGGAAACGGTGGACGCAAGTGGCAGAGCGGATTTAGCAAATATGTGAGAGTGACGAAGCATCCATCGATTGGGTCTCGCAAAAAAAACACAAGGTTGCTGCATCTGCCAAGCACGGACCAGCAGCGCCAGCAGCTCCTGTCTGACCACTAGCAGTGTGGTGTCAGGCTCCACGACCCCGGTGAGCAGCAGGTCAGGGCAGGTGTGCAGGTGTGCCGGCGTGCGACCTGAGGCGGCGGAAGGGGCAACGACAGCACGGGTGTACCTACCTACGCAGTGAGGTCAGGTCCCTCTACAGGTACAACTTACATGGAAGTTGACCTTAGGTAAGGAAAGTGGAGATGCCTGCCTCGTGTCCCGCCCAGTACGTACCTGCTTTTGCTCAGCGTGCTCAGGTCCTGTTGGGCAGGCAAGCACCAAGGCGGGTTCGTTGCTTTCAGCACCTCAAAATGGGAGAGGCCCCCCATTGGCCGACTCCGCGATCGATTTGGAGTCCGCTGAATCGATGCATTGGATAGAACAAGATAACTTAGGACCCTGAAAGTGGAGCCTTGGAAACCAACTTAAGTCGACAACGTCACTCGGCCCTAGGGAAGGGTCGGCGGACACATCGATATAACGATTCTGGTGTGTGTTAAGGTAGATAGAAATACCCACTAACAACTACCTTTCCTTTGACTGAGTCGTTGATACCTGTGACTTGCACTTGTTTGCTTCCAGATCCTCGGTACACACCTTATTCTTCAAGGCGACGTACTTCCAAATCACGTCCACATAGAGTTATTGGACGAACTAACTCAACCCCACCATTCACTTCTATTCACTCATCTTCCGCAACTCATTGCATTCTTGACCCGGAGCCATCTCCCGAGACACATTCAACTACGATGATTGGCCGCAAGACCTCGTGAGTTTGCATAGCCAATAGCCTCTCTTATTCACGAAACTGTCGTCTCTTTATTCTGTCCGAGCCTTGCCTGTTCTTTCGACCGCGAATCAAGTCTCATCCAAGACATTTACCGTTTTGAGACCCATTATCCAGTAAACCAGAATTGTCCAGTTGAGCGGCCCTAGCCCTTGGAGTCCTACACCGTAAGTGGCTTCAAAGTGGAAGTACACGATTACCACCGGTCCTGTTCATGCCCTTGGGTGCGGTTCATAAGCGAGCTCTCGGGAGTGAGACCGAAAGCTGGGCATAAACTTCACCACGGATCGTCAAGACATAGAGCTCGAAGGCGAGTGTTTTGAAGACAGGGAAGGCAGGGTAGACCGCTCTTGGCAGCAAATTCATATTCTATGATTCTGGACAACCAACGGCAACCATGATTTCTCACACGCTGAGGATGCCAAAGGCAAGGAAGATGGCCTCCACCATCCGGCGGTACTCGACTGCCATGGCCATCACCGATCCCCTCGTCAAGTACAGAACGCTGGTCTCAACCAAAGTCTTATCACCCGACCAAGACCAACACAGGCTAGCAATCCACCTGCAAAAGCTCTACGGCCGCCTCAAAGACTACGCTCCCGAAGTGGACTATCGTGAGCGCCTCAAACAAGTTGCCGATATACCAGAAGCCCGCGACCCAGAAGAAGCCGCCGCGACGCTGGCTATGCCGAGCCACCCCATTTGGGACAACCCGCTCTTCAAACACCTCGCCCGCAAGGCCATGCCGGACACAAAGGAGACGAATCCCATGGCCCTAGTCCAAGTCATGACCAGTCTGGAGGGCGCCATCACAATCAACTCACCTAGAGGTCTCTTCCTCTCCGGGGAGGTTGGTGTGGGAAAGTCAATGTTGATTGACCTCCTAGCACAAGGACTGCCGACGGAGAGGAAACGTCGGTGGCATTTCAACACCTTCATGCTCTACACGTTTTCGCAGCTGGAAAAGTTCCGCCAGTCCCACACAGAGCTGGACGGGAACGAAAAGGAGTACGCCATGCTGTGGCTGGCTAAGAAGCTCGTGGAAGAGTCTCCTATCCTGTTTCTCGACGAATTCCAGCTGCCTGATCGCGCCGCAAGTAAGATTCTCAGCCACTTGTTCATCGCCTTTTTCCATCTCGGCGGCGTACTCATCGCTTCGTCCAACCGCGTGCCCGAAGAACTGCAAAAGGCCATTGGCATCGAGTACACTGTTCCTCCCTCCGACGGGTTCCTCAAGAGTCTTTTCCTCGGGGGAGCTCGCTCACGGGGAACTCGTCATAGTCAGAACGACTTTGCCGCCTTTCTCGAAGTGCTAAAGGCTCGCTGTGACTTCTGGCACATGGACGGAGCTACTGACTGGAGACGCCGGGAGACTGAAGTGAAAATTGCTGTTGATGCCATATCCATCGAGGGAACGGGGCTTGTGGCGGAACATGCAGATTCTCAAGAAGGTAGGTTACCAGTCACTGATTTAACCACACGACGCTAACGAGTCTAGAAACACCCACAGAAACAACAAAACCAGCAAAGTACTTCTTGACCCCCGAGGCCTCGGAATGGTCGTCAGAGCTGTCAGACCTCCTCTCCCAACCCTGGAGCCCGGCAACCCTCACAGTCTATGGCCGCACAATCCCCGTCCCACGTCAACGAGACGGCGTAGCCTACTGGGACTTTGACGCCCTAGTCGCGACCTTTGGCCCGGCAGACTACGTGACCATGGCATCAACCTACCATACCTTCATCATCGACAACGTCCCCACCATGACCACGCTCCACAAGAACGAGGCCAGACGCTTCATCACCCTCCTCGACGCCCTCTACGAAGCGCGCTGCAAGCTCTTCGTCCGCGCCCAGACCGGCCCCGATGACCTCTTCTTCCCTGACATCCGCGCTGCGCAAGCAGAAATGGCTGCCGCCGCAGAGGCGGCAGCAGCAGCGGCAGCATCCGGGGAGGAAGTCGTCTCCTCGGACGCAATCTACTCCGAGACCATTGCTGAAGTCTACCAGGACTCCGCGGCCCCCTTCCGCCCCAACATCTCCTACTACGACACCGACGCCCCGACCTCGAAATATGATCCGGACCAGGACTCGGATTTCGGCCGCGCCGGCAATGTCAGCAGCAGCAACACGACGAGCCCCAACTTTAGCAACACGGCTGGTTTTATTGGCGAGGATGAGCGCTTCGCGTACCGCCGCGCCGCGAGCCGGCTATGGGAGCTCTGCAGCGCCGCGTGGCACGCCAGGGGCAGCAGCAGCGGCGACACCTTGGAGTGGTGGACGCCCGTCCCGCGCACCGCGCGGCACTGGGAAGATTCGGCGCCGTCCAGGCCCAAGAGGGACGAGCCGCTGCTGCCGCGGAGACAGAGCGATGCCGTCATGGGTCCGTCGAGGCCTGTTGACGAGCCGTTTGGGACGGATAAGCTCGTCATTGAGAGGTGGACGGCTCTGGAGGAGGCCGAGCGTCGTCGGGAAAAGTCAGCTTCGTCTTCTTCTTCGCTTTAGGATAGTGGACGTCTCTAGAGCTTGGTTTTAGTCGCTTTTCTTTGTATATGAGGAATGGAGGGCAGCTGGGGTATCGGGAGCAGATGGGAGACAAGTTCCGTTGCATGACCCTGCTCTATTCTCCCTATATCCTCCGTGCCTCCCTGGACTTTTCTGGAGTTTAAAGTTTATCGCATTTGAGAGAACATCACGGAGCATAGCATAGCATTTTGGCGGTGCTGGATTTAGCATACGTCGCTTAGACGACGTCGAGACCTTTGAGTCTTCATGATGGATAGATATCTTACAGTATCGGTATCACCCGGTGCTCAAATTAGAAAAGAGAAGAAAAAAGCCATACTTGACATCACACCGTCGGAACACATGCATCTATCTTCTATGATCAAACGCCCCAAAACTCCAAGGAACCCAAGAACAAGGCCATGAACCACTCTTCACCCCCCCCTTTTCAACTGTAAACCCACACCAACCACTCCCGAAAAAACCCCCTTCAAAGATTCGTAACACCAGGCGTCCAACTCTCCCCAATCCTCCTCACCTCCCCCTCAAACTTGCGACTCTTAATCACCCTCCCCCCACGCCCGCTCACAGGCGAATGCTCATCAGGCTCGTAAAACGGGTTCTGCAACAACCGCACATACGCGCTCTGCACAGCCCGGAACACGACTCTCAACTCCTGCTCCCGTAACCCAACCGCGCCGCGGCCCTTGCCGCCAGCAGTAGTAGTGTCCGCACCAGCACCACCGGCACCAGGCGTCCCGCCAGCGACCCTCCGCCCGCGCATGTCGACGACGACGACAATCTTGACGCCCGTGTTGGTCTCCCACCCGTACGCGGCCAGCCGTTCGTCGACGGCGTGGAGGAGGCCTACTTCGCCCGAGAGCCCTGTCCCCGTAGACCCTGGCGCCGCGGGGGCCGCAGCAGCACCACCACCAGAGGAACTATTGTTACCATGGCGGAGCTCAAAGATATCTAGGGTCGAGGAGAGGAGGAGGGAGAATTGCAGCGGCGTGCGGATCGGCGCAAAGGTGTTTGTTGAGGGGTTGTGGGAGGGGAAGATTTGGATGTGGAGGGGGTTGTTCTGGAGTTTTGGATTGCTGCGTTAGCCTTGGGGTCTTTCGGTCTAGTGTTGGGGCGGGCGCGCCGAGATCATGCTTCTGGTTGTAGGGAGGTTGAAAGAGCGGACTGCGGACCAAAGGTTCATTGTGGTCTGCGCCCGGAAGGGGGGGCCGTTGGGAAGGAGGAGGAGGAGGACGTACGTTGCGGCCGATGATGCCTATGCATGCTATGGAAGGGATCGCGGTCGCCATTGTGCGCGGCCTGGGTTGTGTACCTCTGGTTCGCCTGAAGTTTCGGGGGTTTGTTTTTTCGGTGAGGCACTGCGCCGAGGCGTGGAATGCGATTG